ACTGTATATCCAGGTTTCGTCTAAAACCACAGCTCGTAATGCAAAGAGTGAAGTTTCGTTGTGTTTAAAGTCTCTCAAAAATTGTAGTCTTCTTTGAACTGCATAGGGCTGTTCCATTAAAAATAATCTATTGGAAACGGTGCATCTCCGCCACGTGAATTTCAGTTTCTTCAAACTGCGGGACAAAGAGGTAGCAGATATTTCTACGCCATCAAGTCGTTGAAGATTACTGTGTAAGGAACGGAGTGTAACATTCTCACCTATAAAATCAATTCAATACCTAAGTGTTCTGGCGAACATCTTCATTCTGTGTATCGGTTCGTCATATTTACCTAATGGTAACGGGAATGACCTAAATTCATGATATGAGCGAATCGAACCATTATGCGGTAAAATTTTTAAAATACTTGTCTATTAACGGCGTTGCTGCACTGTCGACTTGCCTAAGCGTTTTTAACTTTGATGATATTTACTTCACTTTTAACACAAACTACCTAATCAACACTGGAAATCTGTCTATAACGAAAATCGTTTGACGGATTGATATTATGACAGATCAATTGGTTTATTTGTCACGACTTACGTTAATGACGTAATTTTTTTTGTCTCAATCGATTTAAATGTAATGAAGAGAGAATCACATTTATGACGTCAGGTTCAGCACCAGTGAAACAAAGTATACTTGTAATTGTGCGAAGAAATAAAGTCTATGAGCCGGTTTTAGGAGACTATTTAGTACTTATGCGCTTTTCTTGCAACATTGGCAGCAGACACGAGCATTTTATGAATGTTCGATTATCTGAGATCCCGCATGCATTATGCAGAACCTGCTATGCACCTCGTACTGATCGGGCTTCGTGATCTTGTATCCATAATGTACCGACCTTACATACAACTTCTATTCTATTCGTTATTGATTGATATAATTTCGTCACCTAGAGTACCTAGACAGTCAAGCCAGGAAAGTTATTGTTCGAATTCACACATGTGTAACATATTACATTCCTTTTCTCTATAACTCTATATACTCTATAGAATTTGTTTTATTTTATAGCACTTCTGATTCAGTCTGTTACAACAAAAATCGTAAAACCAAGTTTATATCGTTAAAGAATATGTTCCATCTAGGTTACTGCATAAAGTAAAAAGAAGACTATAACAGAGAGGAGTTTATTTCCGTGTAGAATCTCAATTACTGCTAACGCATAACTAAAATCATATTTTATCTAAAAAGTACCGCATGTTAACGTCGAAGTGTGGAACGCCATAAAGTTCTAGTATGTATATTGTACCCAAAAAAGGCCCTTACGGTCTGAACCGTTGTTTTTATTGCGATTAGACGCCTTCTACATGTTCAAGTATCTTGTCTGTTATGAGTAAATTACGAGATTTTTATGCTTGCTTCGTGCGCAATATACACATTCAACCACATTATGGAATATCCTCGCTCACTGAAATTAATATACACATTCTCTCGGATTAAGAAAATATAAGAGGCGAAACTTGAAAGTACAAAAGCGTGGAAGGGCCGTAAGTATTTTATTTTATAATTCCGAGTTTAAAGTCGGAATTCCGACTTTAAAAAGTCGAAAGCATTTATTCCTTACTTTAATTTCTATACACAGAGGAAAGAGTATAGGTACGCTACGCTCATGTGTCAAAATTTGAACTCGAGTTGAAAAACTCCACTTTCTTGTCTAGATGTACAAATAACTAATATCATTGAATAAAAATATAGTGTTTTTATTCAATGCTAATATGCAATTAGTACTCCCATCTTGATTTTCTATCGGACAATTCAATTCATTTCGTAGGATGTATTGAAACTGTAGAAAGGTTGCCACATTTTTATTGAAGTGTACAAACAGAATACAAAACGTTTTTTTTCAAAAATCACTTAAATTAAATTTGACTTTGATTAGTGCTTGTCAGATATACTCGTATAATGATTTATCCTAGGCGTAACCTAGGGTTGACGTTAGTGCTTCCCCATGTAGTATGGTGGGTATTTGCATCACACCCTATATGAGGTGTTTATTGTTTTCCTCACAGTTCTTCCATTTCATTACATGAGAGGTTTAACTCTATAAATGCGATTGTAAGTTGAGAGATAAAGCTTGCTAGCAAATATTGCTCCCTTAGCTTTTTGAATCAATTATGAGATATGGGGTCGAAAATTGGGGTTGCACAAAAATATATTTAGACAACATAAATAAGTTACAATATAATATATTAAAACTAATAGGAGGTACAAAATCAGAGTTATTACAGTTAGATATTTAAGACATCAAATATCAAAAAAATCACTACAAAACAAGAATTATACACCATAACGAAACTGGAAGTATAAATTATGTAGTCTCCCCTGTTTTTAAAAAACACGAAAGTTGAAACATGCCATACGAAAATTACATAACGAAATAGATTTAGACACAAACGTAGAGAAAAACTCATTTATAAAATAATTTAAAAGTATAGTTAAGTTTAGAATAAAATGGTTATAAAATTGGGAGGAGGGGGGGGGGGGCTAAATTCTGAGAGAAAACTGAGCAAAAAATCCTATTAAATGAGAAAGGAATGAAAAATTATTTTTTTGTTTTAATTAGTATGATGTTCAGAATATCAACCATTTGCTGCTAAACATGCTTCTGCACGTGTTTAGACATTTTGAATTAGTATTTGCAAAGAGTGGGTACTCTTTGGGATTTGTCTGATCGAAAAAGTGTAATAGGGTTTTTATTTAGTTTTGTCTCAGAATTAAGTCTGTATAGCACACCTGTCGATGACTAGTTTAAGGGAGGATTGATTGCACCGCGGATTGCACTTCACTAGAAATAAGAAACAAATTACGGATAAGAATGCATGATCCGTTGATGATGCTGTTCTCTGGCTGTTCTAGACTTGGCGGGATCGTATTTTCAAATTGGAATAAACGTAACAAATAATATTGTAACGGAAATGCTCCAGACATGACGTCGCCTTTGGCGCTCTGGAATTTTCTACGCGCGCTATAGTGGGATTTTGTGTAGGAATATTCGAGAATGTACTGGACTTACATTGCTTGCGTGTATAAATGGTTGCGGACCGAACATCGCGGCAGTCTACTACCGAACGAGTACGTAAACATCGAGCGCGGAAATATAAATTGCGAAGTGTGAGTGATATAAATAATCGATATAAATTGTACGGATTTTATAGTGTTTTAGTTCTGTTTAATAAATATTGATATAAATCGAACCCGAATTTATAAATAACGTTACAATATAAATAATAGGTTATTATTATTATAACGAAATATTTCCTGAACAAAATCACCCCCAACCAGGGACCCGGATTCAGATGAAATATCGCTTCCGGTTCTGTTTATATTAAGCGAAAATATTTATAACGGTTACAAATTACGGATAAGAATACATGCGGCTTCAGTTCTAGAAAATAACGGTTCGGTTTTGCGCACTTTTTTCGGTCCATAACAGTTCTTTTCGGTTCTAGTCTTTTAGAAAGTATGGCATTGAAAAATTCATTATAACAACGTGATTTGTTAATTTATAGGTGTAAAAAAAATGTAAACAGTCATGAATACCAAAAGGTGTATCGTATCGTCAGTGTAGCTAATTTACAACGACAAGCGGAATAAAGTAGGAGAAAGAGGGAAACATGTATATTATTAATAAAAAACAGAAAAAATATACAAAAACTTATGAGTGGAGTATAGTTTTTTATTTTTATTTTCTAAAACCTCGTCCCTCCGTTTATTATTTACATTTACAGTAGTGGCTAAATTACCGCCACCGCAACCTGTACATACTGCCTTAAATTTCGACGCCTTATCAAAAATTTATAATGCACCGATAGTAATATTTTATCAATTTTCAGGACGTGTTTGCCGACGCGCCCGTCAACTTCCAATAATCTGTTAAGAACCGTAAAAACTAAGAAGATTCGAAAAAAATAATAAGGGTTCCGGTTCTCAATAAGTTTCCATTGCTGAAGGATTAACGGTTTCGGTTCGGTTTTTAGTCTTGAAAAAAATGCCGGTTCGGTCGGGTTAGAATCGATATTTAATCACGGTTTATTTATCTAGCGCGTCCATATTCTGTATTAAAAGTGAGCACTTGACATTAGCTTAATTGTATGCAACGGCGCTCTTCAAACCCACGTTCTAAAACCGTAAGATAGGATAAGCGTCTACCAGAGTTAATATTTACTGTTGAGTGTTGAATTAATAAATTAAATTTTCCAGTGAACACCCTGTATATGCAAAATTTAATTTAAGATCACACTCTAAAATTTTGTGCTTAGGTAATTACTTTGAAATTGGTCCTTGTAATGAATGGAGATTTGCCCTAAAAAATCAGGAAAATCGCGTGTTTTTGGATTTTCATAAAAAACAATAAAATTCCAGATCTCCGTGGGGGTTAACTACCAAAAAATTTCAACTTGATAGCGACCTGTATCGTGGTATACACGTACATACAATACATACGAACATTTTTGAAAAATTTCATTTTCCTGATGTAGGGTCCCATTTCAAATTTGAAGGAGGAGACAATGTTTTTTATTTGCTCAATAAAGAAAGCTTAAAACGAGCGCCTATACTTTTTCGTTTTCGCGAAAATGTGGGCGCTTGTAATATGTGAAGTTTTTTAATTGGTATTATGCAAAAGCAAACCTAGATTAATTTGTAGTTTCACATATATTTGCATATGCTACCGACGGTAGCTTAATTAACTGCATTTACTATAATAGGGCTATTAATAGTTAAGGTAATAATTAGGCCAGAAGCTTGTTACATACGAACAAACGAATTGGTTCTCAATTAGCTGTATGTGCGGTAGAATACTAATTAAAAATTCCCTCTGCTGAATTTCATATTTTTATTTTGTTTACAGAACGTTTATGGTAATGCAAGCAAATTTATGTAAACATAAAAGCCACAACATCAACTTTCTATTGACACAATCAAACCGTCGCACTTACACCAAACATATAAAACTTACCACCTTGTGGAAAAAATTGCGAGTAGATCATTTTGAATGTATCTTCTTTCACGACACCGGTAGGGCATTCGGCTTTAAATCCCCTATAGATGCGTTTAATTTCAGCTTCAGAGAATCTGGTACTTCTACAAAGCGCCTCCAAGCTATCAGGACGATATCGCGGCGGCGTTTCCAAATCCTCGAGTTCCGAATCTGAAATCGATGCATATATGAAGGAATTTGCATATTAAAAGAGGTCTGAGCATTCTCGTTATAGCCGAGAAAGTTCACAAAGTGCGAATGCCATAAATTAGGAAAGGCTAATAACACCTTCAGGAAAACACAAACGTTTCATCGCGCACTAAAGAGATAAAGAGATGCCCTTTAAATGAATAAAAAATGAGGTTGGCACAGATTCGGCCACAAGCTGTTGCATTATAAAGTGAAGGGAGTACCAAGTACTTAATACTGAAATTACCTGACAGGAAAAAGCATATCTGGGTTCGAGGCGACCGACGTCACATTAAATTAGTAGTGTGTGTATTGTACTTGAGATTGGAATATATTAAAAAGCGATTATTTTAAGTTTTTTACAAACTAACAAAATAATGCATGGATGTTTCCGACTAAATCGTTGAGCGAAGGTCATCTTTCATGGGAGATATAATGCAACTATAGTCAAATTTTGACAATGTTTCCTTTCGGGTTTAGAAATTGAATTGTCATATATAATACCATAAGTAGTCGAAGTATTGTCGAATATTTTTGAGGTGCTGTCACGAATGCTAGTTACGCTGATTAATACCACGAGCGCTTGCGCGAGTGGTATTAAAAAGCGTAACTAGCATGAGTGGAGCAGCAGCTCAAAAATAATCTACAAATACTTCGACTACGAATGGTATTCGGAGGACTATTCAACGAATCAAAAGAAAAATTAAGCATAATTACCCACGCGAATGTATTTCCATGACAACAATAAACGTCAAAATAAATTATGGAAGTTGCTTTTCATTTTGCTATTGATTCTATTCGAACTTTTGTGCTCCAAGCTAATTCGTTATGAGTGATTAAATTAAAAGATGTGGTGATAAGTCGGTTGTCGAAATTGATTAACAAACTAAAAAGAATGTTCCGGTTAATATGACAAAATTTCGCTACATTTCACTGGTGGAAGTTTGACAAATGTCATTGAATAATCGCATTGAATTGTCACTTATAATTGCACAAGAGGTTTGTATTTTACCGAGTAAATTTGGGTTGTTAAGGTAATGAAAATCTGTTGCCTAGCAATTCGACGAGAAAAACTGTCAACTAATAAAAATGCGACACCGCAGGTGGAGCATTTTTAGGTTGACAGTTTTTCGAGTCCAATTGCTAAAAGGCAACAGATTTGAATTGCAACAACACAAATTTACTCGGTTTAAATACAAACCTCGAGTGTAATTCGGCAGGACAATTTAACGAACAAGAAATTCACCAAACTAATCAATTATTGACAGACGTCATCTAGTCATATGGGACAGGATAATACGATATTTGGTTCGAAAATGAATAAGTGAAAAAACCACTCGTGCATTTGTCGCTGGAAAAGTTGCAGGTAACTTTTGCCGCCGTCAAAGTGACAATTGCACTGCGGCTTATGCGATTTTTTATACATGAGTTGAATTGTCACTTATAATTGCACAAGAGGTTTGTATTTTACCGAGTAAATTTGGGTTGTTTAGGTAATGAAAATTTGTTGCCTAGCAATTAGACGAGAAAAACTGTCAACTAATAAAAATGCGACACCGCAGGTGGAGCATTTTTAGGTTGACAGTTTTTCGAGTCCAATTGCTAAAAGGAAACAGATTTGAATTGCAACAACCCAAATTTACTCGGTTTAAATACAAACCTCGAGTGTAATTCGGCAGGACAATTTAACGAACAAGAAATTCACCAAACTATTCAATTATTGACAGACGTCAAGCTAATCATATGGGAAAGGATAATGCGATAATTGTTCCAAAATGAATAAGTGAAAAAACCACTAGTGCATTTGTCGCTGGAAAAGTTGCAGGTAACTTTTGCCGCTGTCAAAGTGACAATTACACTGCGGCTTATGTGATTTTTTATACATGAGTTGAATTGTCGCTGAAATACCACACGTGAAATTATCACTATAATTCGTTCCCATTGGCGCAGCAATTTGAAATCGAGACATTTCACTGGTTGAAATCTGACAAATGTTAGATGAATTGAATAGTCGTAGATATTTCACACGACGATAAAGGAAAACTAACCATTTCTTAAAACATCTTCCACTCAATGGTTAAAATATCCCTTTATCGTCTTATATACTATCTAATTATTAATTTGTTTTTCATCTTATTCAACCTATGCATATATGTGTTTAACCTGCAGTTTGCCATGTACCTATCTGTTTCATTTCCTCTCGCACAGTTTTTCGTTCTGGCAGATTGTTAGGTTTGTTTCTAGCTGGGGTAGTTTACCACGATCGGAGACGATTGCCAGAATGTATTCAGTAAGTACAGAGGATTCACTGTGACATTTGATGACTTTTGAAATGACAACCTTTTAAATTCATTTTGCATGTGATATCGGAATCAGATTCCAATTATCAATCCATTGACGATTTTTTTCTACGAATAGCTAAAAATGGGAAGAATCTAAATTATGAAATTTTCACTGGAAATGTGCATTTTATAGTTAATGGTAGGGAATGCAATACCGGGATCGCGGGATCCCGGCAGCATTTTTGCGGGATTAATCCCGCACATAAATGGAGCGGGATCCCGCGGGATTTGCGGGACTGAGGAATTTGTCGACGACTCTGTTTACTTTGTTAATGAAACGCATAAAGGAAAAGTTATTTTTTAAATAATTGTTAAACTTTTTTCGTTAAAATGTGATATAAACTATGATTTTTGAGGCACTTTAGAAGTTCACCTTTTTGTGCTTTACAGGTGAGGTTTTTTTGAGCTCTAAGTTAGGCTGAAGGTACTTTTTTGTTAAATATTGTGATAATTAGCGATTCATTTTAATACAGAAGTTAACCGCACAGAATTGCTTATTTGGCAATTTATTTAAAGTTTTGCGGGATCCCGCGGGATTAACATCTAACAATCCCGCAAATACCGGGATTGAGATTTTGCTGCGGGATTACATTCCCTATCTAACTTTTAAACTAGTAGCTAACTAGTAGTTAACTAGTAGTTGAACTAGTAGCCCAATCTTGGAACTGTTTAAAATTATGGATTCTACAGGCCATATTCTATAAGAAAATGTTTTTTCCCGGTCGATCCGAGACAATTTTTCTTTCGGAGCAAAAAAAGGCAGTACCTTCCTTTTTTACCAAAAATCGACTACACCAAAATTTCTCGGGAAAACACTTTTTCGTATTAATTTTGGTGCGTAGAATCCAAACAATTCGTACTTTTTCGATCATACTTCTTAATCAAAAGTTATAGACTAGAAACCAATTTCGAAAGAAAATTCAAAAGGCTGTAACTTTTGAACTAGTAGCCCAATCTTGGAACAGTTTGAAATTATGGATTCTATAGGCCACATTCTATAAGAAAATGCTTTTCCCGGTCGATCTGAGACAATTGTTTTTTCGGGGCAAAAAAAGGCAGTGTATAACCTTCCTTTTTTACCAAAAATCGACTACACCAAAATTTCTCGGGAAAACCCTTTTTCGTATTAATTTTCGTGCGTAGAATCCAAAAGAATTCGTACTTTTTCGATTAGACTTCTCAATCAAAAGTTATACTATAAACCAATTTCGAAAGAAAATTCAAAAGGCCGTAACTTTTGAACTAGTAGTCCAATCTTGGAACTGTTTGAAATTATGGATTCTACAGGCCACTTTCTATAAGAAAATGTTTTTTCCCGGTCGATCTGAGACAATTTTTTTTTTCAGGGCAAAAAAAAGACAGTGTATAACCTTCCTTTTTTACCAAAAATCGACTACACCAAAATCTCTCGGGAAAACACTTTTTCGTATTAATTTTGGTGCGTAGAATCCAAAACAATTCGTACTTTTTCGATTAGACTTCTCAATCAAAAGTTATAGACTAGAAACCAATTTCGAAAGAAAATTCAAAAGGCTGTAACTTTTGAATTAGTAGCCCAATCTTGGAACTGTTTGAAATTATGGATTCTACAGGCCACATTTTATAAGAAAATGTTTTTTCTCGGTCGATCTGTGACTAGGGAATGCAATACCGGGATCGCGGGATCCCGAAATATCGGGATTGAGATTTTGCTTCGGGATTGCATTCCCTAGGTACGGTAATATAAAGTGTTATAAGTTATTTTTAGCCAGACTGACACTTACCGTAGTATTTCATGTAACAGTAATGAAAATGCGCTAGTTATTTTAGGTACCTACATCAGTATATGGTAGCATTTCTTTTGTTCTTAAACAAGTTATGAATAATGTTTGTTTTAAATGAGGCTAAGCCCAATTTGTATTAATGAACTTCATTCACATGCATTCACATGCAATACAGATGGTGCGTTGCGAACGTAACGTGGATCAAAGCTTTATGACTGTTTTCCATTGTTTTTTACTTCCCCAATTCTATTAGTTTCCAATTTCCAAATCGTTTCCACTTGCACTTTCCTTGTACACGAATTGTCTTACAAGCACGTCTATTTTTTGTTATAAACCTTTACAGTAAGTTGAAATGAAATTGCATGCATTTCAAATAACTTAAAATTTAAATGTACTCGTATAATCACCTAAACAATGTTTTACTTCAAATTTGTTGCCAAATAAAATCACCCAGTAAATGAACCTTTGAATGAGGCAAATTGTTGCACCTATTGAAATTATTGTGGAATAAAAAAAATTCCTTAGAACAATATTAATCTTAAGTCCAAACCAAATTCAATAGGTTAACAAATTTACAAATTACAAAGCTTTATGTTAAAAATTGTTCATAATTTATTTCTACATTAATACTTAAAGGTTATTCAATATTGACTTTGACACCTTAAATAGAAATAAATGTAACTAACCGTGGGATAAAATTTTCTCTTCATGGTATTGGTTGATTATATTAACTTTTAGATACAGCCGGATGGTTATTTATGATACAGATGATGGACCTTGAGATTCAATTTTTCTTTAATTATTAAAAATAAAGTTTGTTGCGAGATGGTAATATGAAGGTTTAAATTTGTGTAACTTGAGGTTATTTGAGTGGTGC